ACTACGCAGTTGGCACAGTCACAGCCTGTCGATATTTCCGGGCAGCGGTGATTCACGCTATTTCTAATCTACAGGGTTCTTGATCACATACCTCATCGTTCAAAATAGACCCGATCAATATATATATATATATATATATATATATAGAGAGAGAGAGAGAGAGAGAGAGAGAGAGAGAGAGAGAGAGATTTATGATGGACAGACTAGATCCTGCTGCCAGTGTTCTCCGTAACATAGCAATCACTCCCGTCGTCATGCTTACTGTGTATTACTACAGCGTTACTATTTTGTTACTGTTACCCTGTTTTATACTGTTACTCTGTTTGTCATTATTAACCCCTGCTATTGTTATGTTGCAGTGCCTTACTGGCGACGGAGATGCGTTCCAACCTTTCGTCTGCCTGCAGCCAAGGCTGCCGCTGCGAGCGGGAGACCTACGCTCCGATATGTGGAGTAGACGGAGTCACCTACTACTCGCCATGCCATGCCGGATGTAAGACCGTCTATCCAGGTTCTGTCGAGGTATGTGTAGTTTTCGTATGTCACCACTGGGTGGCGCTGATAGGAGGCCTGCGCGTGCCTACATCGTGCTCGGTTATACACAAAACATCGGGAGTGGTTGAAAAACGAAATTGAACAAATTTTTTACAAAATTTGTTTTTATTCACCCCTTATGATGACATCTAAAAATGTAGTGCAGACAATGTAACAGCTAATACGTTTAGCACTGTAATAATTGTAACGACTAGCAAAATAGCAACTAGCAAATTAAGTGCACCGTTTGTTATGCTCGGAGTGTCTTCCAATTATGACGGTCCAGAATTTCGAACGACTTCAATCTCTTGTACCGGAAGCCCCTTCGTAACAGTTATACATTTCGGATGTTAGTACTCGCTATTTTGCTTGCGAGGAAAACTATAGAAGCAATTATGTTTGTAAACCGGAGACTCCCTGTATACAGCGGTCACCTTACTGTTACTAAACGCCACACGCTGCCGGACGTGGAGTGTGACTATAGTATATAGGAACTCGTCAGGAGTACGGTCAGCCACTGGTTATAAGCAATCATTGGCGGGAAGGAAAAATCTATTTAAAGATCCTTCAGACCTTTTGACCTGGCGCGTTCTTCGATCGGCGCTATACTTCAGTCGGTCTTGGAAAATCGTTGTTCGATAGAGAAAAATGGACGTGTGACGTCTGGCGTTGATTCTGGTACGCAGGGTCATGCCGCAGCCGCTTAACAGACGAGACCCTCGTGTCCTTAGAACCCTGTGTAGATATATTGAGAATTCCACATTGGCAGTCATCCGACCATTAAGTACGCGGAGTTCATGCGATTAATTATGTCTGAAAAGCTAATAACAGTTGGCCTATATACGGAAGTACGTGTGTATGTAATTATAAGCGTGATTGCGTGTTTATCACAGTCATTATCAATGTTATTATCATTATCGCTATGATTACATCAGTCAAGAATAATTAAAGTTAATTAATTCCCTGGTTTACCTGCGCCGTAAGTCTGCATTACCTTGAAGATATTTTTCCTATAAGTGTGTGTGCGATTATATGAGCTATAGCATAATAGGATTAATAATAACGCAGCTATACTTTACATCCGTCGGCGTAGATTGACGGGATAATGTTACTTACATATATATCTACGTGCGCGTCATCGCAGCGTCCCATCCACAGGCACTTGGAACGTCTCAATAAAAAATAAAAAGGTAAATAAACACGAAATGTATTTACTGCCAAAGTCTTAATGTTTCTCTACTCTATTTCGCCTATAATCACCTGTAAATGCCGGTCAAATGCTGATCTGCAACACACAAGTACACCGCACGCCCGCCCTGCGCACAAACAACATGAATAAGAGAGTAATATTCATGTTGTTTGTTTATTCAGCGTATAACCTTGTCTAGTATATGACTTCTATCGCTCATGCGCAATGTTAAGAGGGCGGGTTTTCCATGTCACTGTGTCTAGGATTTGACCTCTACTGCATATGAGCAATGTAAAGGGAGCGGTGTTTGTCATGTAACTGTGTCGTGGATTTAACCCCTACTGCCCATGCGCAATATAGAGGGACGGTGTTTACCATATAACTGTTTCTCAGATTTGACCTCTACTGCCAATAAGCAATATAGAAGGACGGTGTTTACCATAAGAGGGATGCATACCATGCTACGTCGCTCCTGCCAGCCTCCCAGCTATGTTACAGTATCTGCTATACCGCATCATTTGTCTAATTGATCGTCCACGTTTTCTCGCCGTCGGGCGTCGCCGCCGCACTCGATCACGTTACGACGACGTCGCCCCGGTCGGCCGTCGGTCGATCGCTACGCGTGCCATCATTTACGACGACACAGTTACGTCATCGTCGTGCGTTCTCTTCCGCAGGCTTACGGCGATTGCAGCTGCATCCAGGGCGACTACCCGGATGCGGTTGTCATGGCGACGAGCGAGCCGTGTCGTCCGGACTGCTCGCTGCAGCTCGGCGTGTTTCTGGCGACGTTCTTCATCATCATGTTTCAGACGTTCATCGTCAGCATCCCCGCGCTGTCGGCAACAATCAGGTACGTATAATGGCAGTGCATGCTCGTCGCTTCTCTTCCTCCAGGCCTCCAGCGCACCTCATTCCCGTACACTGACTTGGTACGTGATGTCAGTGCACGCTCGTCTTTTCACTCCCCCCCACACAGACACCGCAAGCCCTCAGCTCACATCAAGCTCTTACACTGAGTACGTAATGTCGGTACACACTAGTCGCTTCACTCCCCCCCCCCCAGGCCCCCAGCGCACCTTATTCTCTTACACTAGGTACGTAATGTCAGTGCAGACCTGTCTCTTCACTCTCCCCCAGGCCCCCAGCGCATCTTATTCTCTTACAGTAGGTACTTAATGTCGGTACACGGTAGTCGCTTCACTCTCCCCCAGGCCCCAGCGCACATCATTCTTTAAAAATTAGGTACTTAATGCCGGTACAGACTCGTCGCTTCACTCTCCCTCTCACTACGCCGCTCAGCTCACAGGAAGGGAGAAACAAGGTTTAGACGTCGCTATCGTGGAATGGCATCACAACATGTTCACAGCTTTATTTTCTATTATATTTTTAAATTTCAACGGTACTATGCCCGATAAACCTGTTAACGTTCATCAAGCATAATCTCTTTCTGCATTTCACAGTATCGCTTTGTACGTTTTCAGGTCCGTTGTGCCGAATCTTAGATCGTTTGCTATCGGGAAGCAATGGCTCTATGTTCGCTTGCTAGGTAAGTGATGCGACATCCTTCATATGTTAATTACCTAGTAATTGGTTAATTGGTGCAGTTGCGGCTGTTGTGAGATAAATCGTTATGCAAATTATTCAATGGCGCGGTATTAGGTTATAAATTATGTTTATGTAATGAGTTCATATATTATAGTGACCGGTTTTTACGAACCAGGAGTCTTGTTTCGATTGTTATAGTCACCGACCACAGTCACACAGCAAACTACCAAATTTTATCTCAAATGTGTTTACTTTTTATCTCACCTCATACCAAGCTCAACACCTTTCATCCCTAATCCACACCCACATTATAGCTCGGCTCCTTCCGCCATCTCGACACGCAATCAATAATCTCGACCTTGATTTCGACTTTCAACCTTGACCCAATCAATGACGTCATCTCGGCCTTGACCCCTACAGGTACGATCCCGGCGCCGCTACTATTCGGTACGCTCATCGACTCGACGTGCCAGGTGTGGTCGGACACGTGCGCGGGCGGCGGAGGCTCGTGTCGGGTCTACGATAACCACAGCATGGGGCGACGCCTACTACTGGTCGGCGTCTGCGGTAAGACCGTCTCTTCGCTCTTCTTCCTCTGCTCGTGGCTCCTCTACCGGCCGCCGGAAAAATCACCGACGACGGCGGCGGTGGCGGCGGCGGAGGTGGCGCCTCACGCGGCCGAGTTTCTGCCGACGAAATCGGATCCGAATGATGTGAGCGTCGACATGTCGGTAGCGAGCAAGGCGAGCAGCGGCTACGACACGTGCACGCAGGCGACGAGCGGCACGCTCGAGTCGCGCGCCAGCAGCGGATACGGCGATCCGGGTTGCCATGGCAACCGGCCGAGGAGCGGCGACGCGCGTCGCATCGTGCCGGATCCGCGACCGGAGCCAGACGGCTCGCCGAGATACCAGTTCAGCTTCTAGTGGCGACGAGTGTGTCAGCGAGCGGGCGTAGAGATCCCTCACACATGGCCTGCTGTGATCCTGTGATTCATACTTCGAGGCGCGTGCGTGTCTAAGCTTGCGCGCGCGTGCTTGTGTGCGTGCGTGTGCTTGTGTGCGTGCGCGTGTATGTGTGCGTGCGTGTGCTTGTGTGCGTGCGTGTGCTTGTGTGCGTGCGCGTGCATGTGTGTGTGCGTGTGCATGTGTGCGTGCGCGCGTGTGCGTGCGTGCGTGTGCATGTGTGTGTGCGTGTGCATGTGTGCGTGCGTGTGCATGTGTGCGTCCGTGTGCGTAATTTCACGAGCTTCCATGATCATTTAAAAAAATTTGATATCTAATTTACCCGTAGCGAAAATGGTGATGAATTATCATGATGGGTCGTCGGCTCCCAATAGTATGCAAGGCGTAGAATTTCTTCCTGGGGGAAACTTCTCTTTGAGAGACTGTACGTTGATGCGTTCACAAGCGCCCTCTATCGGCGGTGTGCCTGCCTGTGTTATGTACGCAAGTACGCATGCAGATCATGTATGGAAAAGTACACGTATCTTAGGAGGATATGCACCTTTAGATCTGTGATAGGGACTGACAGCGTTTAGCTGATATTATAATGATACTGAACCCAAATTTATTAGCTAAGCCTATATCAAGTTCGTGTATGAAATTAATTTTTCCCGTATTCTGAAAGCCGCCATCCTAAAGTGCCAAATCTCCGTAACAGCGATGAGTATCACACGAATCATGGGTGTGCGTGGTTACGTACGAGTGTGCATGCATCTGTGTGTGCGTGTGTGCAGACGTTCGTGCGTGCGTGCGTGCATCTGTGCGTGCGTGCGGACGTACGAGTGTGCATGCATCTGTGTGTGCGTGTGTGCAGACGTTCGTGCGTGCATGCATCTGTGCGTGCGTGCGGACGTACGGGTGTGCATGCATCTGTGCGTGTGTGCAGACGTTCGTGCGTGCATGCATCTGTGCGTGTGTGCAGACGTTCGTGCGTGCATGCATCTGTGCGTGTGTGCAGACGTTCGTGCGTGCATGCGTCTGTGCGTGCGTGCGTACGTACGGGTGTGCATGCATCCGTGCATGCGCGTGTGCGTACGTGCGTGCGTGCATGCATCCGTGCATGCGTGCGCGTATTTGAGTAGTAATGTTGTACGTAATAAAGCAGAAAGCAGTAGTTCGCGCTGAAACTAAGACTGTAGCAAGTTGACAGACCTGTGTTGATCACATATTCGTGAAATAAAGGGAATAAGCTCTCCCTCTTTTGTTGTTTTATGCTAAACCTGTGAACCATCCTCGCTGTACTTCTCTGTCCGTGCATAAATTCTCACGTGGGCGCTGATTCTCGCTTGTTGCTTCCGCGAAAATAAACAGCTTTTGTACGATGTCGACAAACGGGGCAGTAAATGCAATTGATTACATCAGTCATCACCATCAGTGGTTACGTTAGTAGTAACGCGCATGGCAAGCTTGTGCACCATGTCTCTCTCAAGTCAGTTTATTCGTCTGTCGAACAGAATATGTGATTCTGCTGTTGCCTGTATATTCAACGTGTTTGAAAAACGTGAGAAACGCCACATAGAGGGCACTCGCGTATTTTCAACGATAATGATAAAATCAAAATGCGTACGTGGCGGTACCAAGCTTCTCGAGTCCAGTTTACTCTGCAAATATGTTGGCGATTTATTCAAGGATTGCATTCAGGGTTCATCTCCGACTTGATTCCCTCCTTGTGTGAATTGGTTATCGATGGGGGGAATCGATACGTATATTAGAGGGGGTTTTGTTGGCAGTATTTTCGAAATGCGCATATAATTTTCTTTGGCGGCTGCATGAACGAACCGTTACTGAAAATATCCGTCTCACTGCATTTGTGTAAATACGCGATTGTACGTCTGTGATTACTACGCGCAAGTGTAATTGTAAATATTTGCGTTCAATATGATTTGGATACGTGTGTGTGTGTGTGCGCGCGCGTGTGTGTGTCCACGCGTTAGCACGTTTGCTTCTACTGTCTCTCCGTCTCTGTCTCTGTCTCTGTCTCTCTCTCGCTCTCTCGCTCTTTCTCTCTCTCTCTCTCTCTCTCTCTCTCTCTCTCTCTTTTTTTTCTTTTTTTTTATCCTCTCTCTCTCTTTCTTTCTCTCTCTCTCTCTCTCTCTCTCTCTCTCTCTCTCTGGTCGTCGTCTCTCTCCCTCCCCCTCTCTCTCTCTCTCTCTTTCTCTCTCTCTCTCTCTCTCTCTCTCTGTCTTTCCTCGCTCGCAATCACTATCTCTCTCTTTCTCTCGCTCTCGCTTTCTCTCGCTCTCTTTTCTTTTTCGTTCTTGAGTAAATGACTTTTACAATGGACCGTTAATGTTTATGAGATGTCAATGTGATCAGTGCACACAATATGTAAATATATGCGAGTTTTTTCTAGTAAGATACATTTACTTGTTTGTTTTGTGATATCTTGTATTTGTTCGGTTGAAGCAGGAAAATCATGTGATTCGATAAATAAATAAATATATATATCGCAACGCTGCGTATATAGTAGCCTACAGTATAAATTCTAACCAATGCTGATAGGTAATGCGGCAAGAAAGATAGTTGAGGGGCGGCAGAAAAAGAAGGATGCTGTGCGAGAGACAAGGGAAGCAAGGGGAAGGATGGGAGGGGATGAAGTAGTAGTTTTTTGGCACCCTACAGGCTAGGGCGCTTTCCTAATTGTAAACACGTGTACACTGAAAAATATCGAGAGTAGATAATAACAGTTTATTATCTACGAGTAGTTAGTTATAGTTAGTTATTTATTATAGTTAGTTAGTTATAGTTAGTCTATTATCTAAGAGTATTTATTATCTACCCTTAAAAATATTTATCACAGAAATCTATGCTGAGATACCCCCTAACCATATTAAATATATTCATCGCAAAATATAACTCCTCTGGTGAGATATTGCGAATGCGCTAACAGACTAACGTAGCCAGATTGTGTACTGACTGGTATATGCAGCGGGACCTTACATGCAAGGTTTTCTTCCCATTTCTTAAGTGATGTCTACTGATAAAATTCTAATCTATGCTAGGATAACTCCTCTTCAGTTTAAATACATATTTTTGCAAAATATTATTTTTCTCGGGAGCTAATGCGCATGCGCCAGCACCGTTTCAGGCGTGCAGTACGGATGAAAAACACTGCATAATATAGCTTGCCAAGAGAGAGAGGGGTGGGAGACCGAGGAAAGGTGGCAGGGAAGTAGTTGAAGGGCGGTAGAAAAAGAAGGATGTTGTGCGAGAGACAAGAGGCAAGGCGAAGGTTGGAAGGGATGAATTAATCGTTTGGCACCCTACAGGCTAGGGCGCTTTCCTAATTATAAACACAGGTCCACTGATAAAGATTTATCACATAAATCTGTGCTGAGATACCCCTTAACCATATTAAATGTATATTCATTAAAAAATATAACTCCTCTGGTGAGATATTGTGCATGCGTTAAAACTCTAACGTAACCAGATCATATACTGACTGGTATATGTAGCGGGGACCTTACATGCAAAGTATTCTTTCTATTTCTTAATTGAGGTATAATGATGGAATGTTATTATATAAATCTATGCCAGATGAACTCCTCTTCAATTTAAATACATAATGTTTGCAAAATGTTATACTTCTCGAGTGAGTTATTATTGTTATTCTTACTTCTCCTCATTCTTGTTGTTTGTTCCAGCGGCGTGCGTGCGGTTATACTTGTGTTGCAGAGAAGCATTTGAACGGAATTTACACGAAATTATCGGCAATAATAGGCGAAAGAGAGTAGAGAATTATTAAGACTTTGGTAGTAAATACATTACGTGTTTATTTATGATCATTTTACTATTGAAACATTCCAAGGGCCTGTGGCTACGACGGCCTGGCAGGACAGATGTGACGTCACAAGCGAATAAACACCCACAGCATTTGTTATCGGAGCGCGGTAATTTCGCATAATTTGTTAGCCCATGTAGCAACATTACCGCATGGTGATTATGACATTATTTGAAATACTAGAAGAATATAAACATATCTATGATATATTCAAGTGTGACTGGGTTATTTCGACATATCCTTTTTAACATTAACTTTCTAGATTGACATATGCTCCTGTAGAGGGCAGCACTTCAATGTATCATCGGACTCCTTGCTACCTTGCTTGCTACTAGGTAGCTCTAGTACTATACTAGCCCACGTACAGTTGCCGCGGGCATGCGGCAACTGCACGCGGGCTATAGTTACTAGAGCTACATATTAGGATACGTGTACATGTAGGAATTTCTTTATAGACATATTATTAATTGCATACGTAATAATTAAACCACATATTCATAAAGTATTATAGGATAGCTATATGGCCCGATCTTTGTGATAAGCGTGGCGTCCTAACTACAGTTTGATTAGCCATAGCGATGTTCTCGCCTTCTCCCCACGTGAAGTATAAACTGATGAAATCTTAGATAATTAAATTATTAAATAATTAAAACCTAATTATTGAGAACATACTTAGCTCTCTAGAAAACGTAGCCTCGTCGTATGCCGAGTTTTACTTTCATTTAAAAACACGAATGCAACTCCCTTTCATCGTCATGTGATTCCGGAAATCCTTTACACGTGTCAAACATCATCGCTGTCTCGTCGTCCTCAAAAGGTAACCGCGGAGGTTGGTGTGGCCGTCTGTCTGTTTTAGATGCAAGCCGTTTAGCCCTATCGTTGACGCGACGTCGTCCGCTATTGCCCACTCTCGCCGGTGTAACCGAGGCACGCTGATTGAGTTGCATTTGTACCGACGACCAAGATATGTAGTTTTATGCGTCTGTCTGTTTTAGATGCAAGCCGTGCAAGCGTATGGTTGACGCGACGTCGTCCGTTATTGCCCATTTTTGCACGGATGACTGATGGTCGCGGATTGAGTGGTAGTTGTACCGACGACCAAGACAAGTAGTTTTGCCTGCAATGTGTATTTCTTCATCACGGATAGCGCCTCCGACTACAACGACTGGTGCTTGTTGTTACTTCCGCCAGGGGCTTGGCGGAGGTTATGTTTTCACCGGCGTGTGTTTCAGTGTTGGTTTGTGTGTTTGTGTGTTTGTGGGTTTGTTAACATGCACGTTTCAGTTCACTTCCGC